GCTACTCTGTGCTGATCCAAGTGGTCGGGGTTTGGACCAACCTCCTACCAGGGACAGTTTTCAGAAGTAGTTAGATCCGGGATTTATTTCCGAAGTGCAACCAACAATATCTGCTGCTAGAGTGAATGTGGGATGTCAAAGAAAGAGGGCAGTCAAGAAGGACTTCAAGATTTTTGGCCTGAGCAACTGGAATAATAAAGTTAATTCTATTGTGAGTCCGTTAAATGGGATGGGGAAGGACAACAGAATAGGAGGTTTACAGAAGATGTCAGAAGCCTGGTTTTGAGTATGTTACACCCCAAATACCTGTTAGCTATCCACATAGAGATGCAAAGTAGGTAGCTGTATAAATGACTTTGGAGGTCTATTAAGTTTAAGAGTGATAAAAAGAAAAACACTTAAAACCATCAGGCTGGATCACTGTGGGGTGAGTAGACTTTAAAAAGATGTTCAAGACTTTGAGTTCTGGCACTCCAACATTTACAGATCAGGAAGATGATGAGGAACCAGCAGGAGACTAAGGGCAGCCAATGAGACCAGAGCAAAGCGAAGCCTGGTGTTCTGGGAGCCATGTGAAGAAACTGTATCAAAGAAAAGCTCAACAGGATTAAACTGTGTTGACTGAGGCAAGGAAGATAAAGACTGAGGCTACAGTAGCATCTAACTGAGAAGTTTTTTATGAAACTTGCTATTGAAATTAAGGCATAAACGAGTTTTCTCTTTCACTTTAAGAGCAAAATCAGATAATGTGACAACAGAACATTCAAGCTATCAGTGAATTTTCAAAGACTGAGTAGATCCTTTACTTAGTATAACAGTTGGCCCTTTCTGACATACATAGTACAGTAAACTTATGACTCCTGATTGGTTTTTGACTATCTACCAGATGGAATCCATCCCCTTACTCACTTCATCCCTGGTCCCCATATGTCTGTGGTGATGATGTATGTTTACACAGCATCTGGTGATATAAATGCTAAAAAATTTTAAAGACACATCAAGATGCCCCTGTATCTTGTTACTAAAATGGCTACAAGAAAGCAGGCACAGAGAAAGGTACACAGAAGATTGAGATTGACTGTTAATGCCTTTTTCAACCTAAAATTATTGACAAGTCATTTTCTATTTATTTTACTCCTTTTTAACTTGACTTCCGAATTTTTCATGAGTTAATGATTTATTATTACTCTATTTGATTGTAGCAATGCTTCCTCAGGTCCTTTATTAGAGGAGGTGTTCTATAAATTAATAAATCAAGTTAAAATCACTATCTTCAAACACAGAGAACAACAGTGTGAATGGACTGCTTACCTTAATTTTAGCAGTATATTCTCCTCTACCTCCAAACAGACCAAGACCACCAAGTAAAATATCGGTGTCGGCACTAAAACGTATAGCTTCCACGGAGTGAGCAGAGTAGCCCCAGCCCCCTCCATGACCTAAAAATATGCAAATGATAATTTACATTTTAAAACATCCATATAATTCATTTATAAGACAGTATTTCCTCAACATAAATGTACATACTTTCAAACCTGTTTACTACACTATAATCTTCTTTGGAATAAACCTTCATCACTGCTTGAGTTTCCTCCTCTGTGCTCGCAACACCCATTTTTAAATCCTGCATAGTTGCCAAGGTATCAAGACAACCTAAAATCAAACAAACGAAAATTCAACTGCCTGAATGAACACTTCCCCTAGTATTCGTGATATCTGAGATGCTGGAGGCGATAAATTAAAACAGCAAACTCTAAATGTGCTCAACAAATTTATACCATGCTTCAATATTTCATGGAAGATACTTAAAACCAATACAAATTACCCTCTGCTTGAGTAATTAGCATATTTAAATATATGCTGTATGACAATGTTTCATGCAAAAATATGAAAAGTTGCAAGAGCTTATTTAATATTTGAGTCCTTACAAGGTCTGTCATTTATCAAATTCTATGAATCACTTCAGATTGATTCTTTCTTTTTTCTGCTTAACAATGATTAAGACTTTAGATTGATTCTTAAGGTACTATTTGAGGAAGACAAAGTAGCCTGAGATAAACTTAATCAAAGCTAGTTTGGCATGTTTACAACGGTTACCAGATGGTATAAAAGTGCTGTATCTCAAATTCATTAATTAGAAGTAAATTTAATGTGCTGTGGAAAACTGTTACGTAAGAAGAAATAGAAGTGGTAATTATAAAATTCATAAATATTTTATAGAATTTATTTTAAAATAATGCATAAAAATTAAACACTGTAATTATATATTTGAATATTTAACCTGCTTCACTAAAGTTTACGTATTAATAGTAAGCAAAAACATTATTTTAAAAGATTTACCTGTTAGGAAAATTATATTCAGGGCTGCTTTATATTTGGGAATATATAAATCTTTCATGGTGTTGGTCTAAGCCTAATGTACTTTTTTCTGTAGGAGAAACCTTTTAAAGTTAGATTTAACTTACTTTGCACCTAGCACATTATTATTTAACAAACATGACAGAATGATACACAAATTTAAATACTCTTTTAAAAAAAATCTTCAGGACACATTAACGAAAATTAGTTGATCATCAAACACCAGCCCTACCTAAAATGTGCAGAGCTGCGTGAGACCGGGTGGTGAGAGCCCTTGAGCCCGTGGGTAAGGCCAGCTCGGGACTCAGAATGCTACATCGGGACTGCATGTCTGCTGCAGAGGGAAGTCGGGCATCGGCAACCACCGCGTTGTAACACCACAGTTCTCTAGTGCTTGGCCGAAACCTTTCAAGGAAAAGATCACAGCACCTCAACATACAGTTTCATTTTAAAAAACTTATTAAGCAAAATTGATGACACAAAGAGAACAATATAGCCAGCTTAAACAGGACAAAATGTAGCTCATTACTTTCCATATCTGAGCTAAAAATATAAAATGATTTATGTCATCATAAAAATTTTGAACAAAACAGCAAATAGTATCACATTATTGCATGATAATAGAGCAAGAGTCTTTAAACTCTAATGTGTACTTAGAAATATAAAACTTTTGCACAGCAAAACTCCATTAAAAAAAAGTGTAAAGTCAAAAGAAAATACATGAAACAAACACGAGACTAAACAACAATATCCATAATGGAGAGGAACTCCTGCAACCCAACAAGAGATAATCCAAAACCAAAAGTGGGCAAGGGACACAGAATGCTGTTCTTTGGAATGTAGACGCTGAATCTTACTAATCAACAGTAACGCATCATAAAAACTATGAAGAACCCACAATGACATCCTGCCACTATCTCATTCCTTTCATCTCTTCCATAACAAAATTCTCAAAAAGCAGTCTCCACTTCTTTTATTTTTTAAACTTTTTTGGGAAAAGATATTTTATCAACTACTGAGTTAATGCACAAGAACATTAACAAATATTTTTAAAACAAAGTATGAAGAATAATGACATGATGTACACTAGTAAAAAGAACATTATAATTTATCTATTAAGTTTCCTGTTGCCATCCTCCCTACTCAATTCCTTTCCTTCCCCTTTCAAAAGGAACAAGTATCTTGAATTTCAAAAGTTTATTATCTTCTTGCTTTTCTTAACGGCTTTTCATGTTTGTATCAAAGTAGCATATTATCTAAGTTTTGTGTTTTGAACTGTCTATGAACACAATACATACTTTGTGTATTCTTTTGTGGCTTGCTTCCTTCAAACGTAAGAATATTCTTACAATTTGTATTTACACAGTGCAATGTGGCTGCAAAATCACTCAATCTCACTGTTGTAAGGGAATTAACTCATGTGACTATTTCACAACTGTTTCTTCATTTTATTACTGATAGCAGAATATGAAAACCATTCAGTCTTCTACTATAAAAAAAATGCTGCTATGGACAATCTTTTACACAGTTTCTAAAGCACAGGTACAAAAGTACATGGGAAGGAAGAACAAATCCTCATTTTTTACAGCTGGGAAGTCTACACAGAAAGCACTGATGCTCTAGAAGATCTCATTCATGTTAGACAGAGCTGACGTTTCAGATCAGTTTAGAAAGGATGATCTCAATCAATGGCGCTTGATGATCCAAGCTTACTAAATATATAAGCACTTAAATCCAGCAGTCCCACTTTGGGTACACAGCCGAAAGAACTGAAAGCAGGATCCTGACGAGGTATCTGTATGCTCATGTTCAGAGCAGGTTTACCCACAATAGCCAAGAGGTGGGAGGAATCCAAACATCCTTTGCTAGGTGAAGGGATAAAGTAAATGTGGTAGAAACATACAGAGAACTACCATCCAGCTTTAGAAAGAAATAAAGAACGCCACCCGGTCACAGGCCACAACGTGAGTGAACCTTGATAACATGATCCTGAGTGAAGTAAACTCGTCACAAAATGAATCAGTGCATGACTTCACTTACTCATCTGAACAAGGCAAAGGCACAGAAACAGAGTAAAAGGTGGCTGTCAGGAGTGGGAGGGAGGGAGAAATAGGTGTTTTCTGCATACGTTTCAGTTTTACAAAGTGAAAATGTTCCGGAGGTCTACTGTTCAACAGTGTGACTATATTTAACACTACTGAACTATACACTTGAAAATGATTACGATAGTACATTTTTATCTTTATGCTGCTAATTATAGCAGCAGTTAATATTATTGGGTTATTGCTTTTTAATTTAATCTATCAATCTGCTACTTGCAGTTTTTATTTATATACAAAAAAAGCAAAAGACATGCATTTTGAAAGGTATCACACAAATAAACTACACTTAATATTGTGACCCATGGAGGAAGTTAGTGACATTTGGTATGGGGGAGAAAAAAAGACATGGAGAGGGACCACAACATTCTTACTGTTTGTATATTTGCTTCATCTTTTAAAAAACTAGCAACTCCAACTAATAAAAATAAATGAAAAAAAAAGAAATTAAAAAAAAAACTAGCAACACAGATTCATGTGTCAGTTCTGTAAATTTTGAAATGAAAAATAAAACTGCTACTAACATTCATCTGCTCTTTACAGGCATGAAGTTATTCAGGAGAAGCTACTGTTAAGAATACAAAAGGACGCAGGCTCGGACAGGAAGGAAAGTCAAAGCACACTAATACTGAATCTGCAGCGTCTGTGATGGAGTAGAACGCAGGAACCCTACTGAAAAACACAACGGACACGAAGCTGCCAGAAGTCAGCATAATGAAAGGAACTCTCCAACTTCCAGCTGTTTTACTGAAACATAGGAGGAGACTGCTCTTCATGTTTTAATCTCTGTTTTGGAATAAGGGGGTAAATGATCAGAGACCTGGCCAGGCATCTGAGATTACCTGTCCCCCTGTTACCACCATATGTGAAAAAGGCAAGGTTCACCTTACCACATACCACACGTCGCAGTTCTGTTAAGGCTCCAGGGAAACGACTCTAGTTATATACTTAAAATCTACTCCTACCATTATTTCTAAGTTAGAGAATGCATTTCTAATCTATCAAATGTATCCAGAAACAAATTCCATACTGTCAGCTTTCATTTTATTCTACTAATGCAAATTTACTTTGTTTAAAACTAAAACATATTATAAGGATCATAGAAAACAAAACATCAATTTAAACCTAGGTCCAAAGCAGAGCTCGCTCTTTGGTAACTAAGTCTCTTGTACCGACTTCTAATCAGTAAATAATTGAACACAAAATCCATCTTTACATCATTTGCTTCTCTATCCCTGCCATTTATTTCACTGTGATCACTCTAATTTCGGTTCTCAGGATCTTATGTCATCACAAGAATCACTTTAAGACTAACTCACCCCTAGTCTCTTGTTATCTAATCCATCCTGTATATTGCTGCTAAGGAATCTAAAGTGAAGTCGCTTAGTCGTGTCCAACTCTTTGTGACCCCATGGACTATAACCTATCAGGCTCCTCTGACCATGGGATTTTCCAGGCAAGAACACTGGAGTGGGTTGCCATTTCCTTCTCCAGGGGATCTTCCCAACCCAGGGATCGAACTCAGGTCTCCTGCATTGCAGGCAGACGCTTTACCATCTGAACCACCAAGCACTACTCAATTAAATTCTCGCCTCCAAGTTGCCTCACAAAATGCCCAAATAAATAGCAACCAGGTTGTCAGCAACCTGGAAGCACTGTAACTCCTTCACTTGGAATCATGACTCACAACTGATAGAAAACATGGCCTTTTAAGACCTGGCTGGCTGTTAGAAAGGAAACTAGGAATGACTGCCAACTAAGGCTGGCCAAATAAACAACTCAAGGGAGAAGAAAAAGTAAGTCCTGTGATGTGCCACTCTGGTAAAGGCATGACTGCCTTATTAGTCATCAAAGCTAGAAATCTGGGATAACTCCTTCCTTGACTCATGTATATAAAGCACCACAGTAAATTTTAAACAAATGCAATATAATTTCTTGGACTGCTTGTATACCTGTATCCATCTGTACATTTTTAAAATTCCCAGAGTTTGATAAACCAGTATATTTCTCTACCAACATGGGAATTTTGTTATGTACATTCCTGAAGGGCAAAGTTCATTGGTTTTATTTATTCTGTACTGTCTTTGGCATAATTTCATCTACACAGTTGGTAATAATTATATATTTACAGAACCAAGAAATAGAGTGAATTCTGTACAACACAGATAAGACTGCTGACAGACTAAAAATAATGAACAAGAGAACTCTTGAACATGAAACTGCTCACGATAATAACAGTGACAAAGTCTTCCATCGCACCTTACTACTTGCCTCTGCCCTAAGTTCTTCAATTCTCACGATAGCCTACGAGGTCCCATTATTATCCCTATTTTATAAATGAGAAAAGTAAGGCACACAGAGTCAAAGCAACCTCTCCACAGTGACAAAGAAAGCAGTGTGCAAGTGGGATAAACTTAAGGCAGTCTGCCTCAGAATGCATGCTTTTAACTGCTGCACTATACTGGAGAGGTCCCGGAGAGGCACTGTGATAGCAAGGTAGTTAACAGTTGAACGAGAGTTCTCATCGATGAAAAGTCTGCCTGTACATAGCTTTCATATTCCACGAAAATACAATTTGATCAAAACATATTTATTACTCTGTTTTAAAAATGGAGAAGCCATCCCCATCGGGATGGGGAATACATGTAAATCCATGGCTGATTCATGTCAATGTATGACAAAAACCACTACAATACTGTAAAGTAATTAGCCTCCAACTAATAAAAATAAATGAAAAAAAAAAAAAAAAAAGGAGAAGCTTACCTCCAAATGACATCATACACAGGATCAAGACAAACACCAAATCCTTGCAGGTCCTCTTGCTCAGAGTCATTAAAGGTTTTACAGCTCCCATCCACTTTATTTATCAGAAGACACTTAAATGGAGGAGGCTCTGATATAGAAGCAGGTACCAAGCCTTGGGGAAAAAAAATTATGTATTTTAAAGATGCACTACCTTTTTACATTCCCCCAACTTATAAGCATTTCCTGTAAGGTAAGTATCATTACTATCTCCATTTAATAGATGAAGAAACTGAACTAAGACTTAGGGGTTGGGTAACTAAAAAACCTTTAAATAGCAGAATGTGGACTAAAACCTCAGGCTGTCTAAATCCACAACACATACTCTTAGTTTCCACACTAGACCACCCTATAATTATCCATGATATCATAGACACAATTATAAATTGACACCTTGGTCTCAATGAAACTTTAAAGTCTGATTTATACAATCTGTCAGAAAGAAATTCTATCACTTATTTATCAAGAACCAATACAGAAAACTTCCTCTTTCCAATACAGGTTTTATACCATACAATTAGGCTCATATTTCCAATACTCTCTAGTTTATAAACTAGTCTCCTAATAATCCCATTCTTTCAGTGCATACATACATATAAACACAGCCACTTGAAAGCTTCTTTTAAACTTCTTCAAACAGAAAGAAAACAAAAAGCTACAGGACAACATATCATAATAGGGAAAGATGAACCATGTGCTTTCAAGGATCTTTCAGAGGGAGATTTATTTGGGAGGTGGGGGTGGTATTACCTATAATGTGTTTACTGGCAAAAATTTCTGATGTAGCAAGCACATGAGAATTAATAAGTGCTTCATCAATTCGTAAGAAAGTCTGGTCCCCACTTGCGCCTATCCAGGTAGCTTTTCTTCCGTATTTTGATCCAATGTTAGGCATGGGAGCTGGTTTTGCATTCCAATATGGCACATCCAGAATTGGTCTACCCAGCTGTCCTTTCTAAAAGATTAAATAAATCACATTAACAACATGACTGAATAAACAATTTATAATAATCTATAAAGTTAAAGAAACAGTAGACAAAAATAGCTCTATGAGACAGTATTCTTCATCAATTGTTGGCTGATTCTTTCTTTAAATAAATGAAATTCACATGAAATTTGGACCAAACTTGTATAAAGAAGCAATTTCTGTTATTCTTAGGCATGCTCCCCTTAATATTAACAAACCACAAAGAATATATTAAAAAATAATAATGAAGTTGAAATAGGAATCTCCCTGAAATACTGTATTGTCTTCAACATCTAAATGTATAATAAATACACAATGTATTTAAAAAGGAGTAACACAAATCGTTCATTTAAAAAACCACTTTGATATTTTAAGCTGACAGTCCAACAAAAATGTCAGTATTGAACTCAAGAGAGTCTAAAAATATTTGAATAAAATATCAAAAAATAATGAATACTGCAACTGTGAATACAATTAGGAAATTACATCTTTTCACACATCATCATGTGTTAGTAAGTTACTTCATTCATGTTTCAAGATAAAGAACAGAATCATTATGCTGTCTTAAGTAACTTTTAACTCACTTTAAAAGTACGGGCTGTCCATAGGTTAGGGAAGAGTTTAACTTAAAAAGTAACAGGAAGGTTTTCACTATGAAGCTGGTAGCTGTAAAGGAAGGTGAATGTTGGATTGGTAAATATTCACCCACCCCCAGCTCAGAAGCTCTCTCACACACTCTCTCTGCTAGCATTACCCTTTCCAAATCCCCCTGGATGGCAAGCAGTCAGCACCACAGCCAGGGTTCACTACAAGTAATGGGAACGAGAAACCAAGCAAAACCCCCCAAAGACCAGGGAGCCTGGAGCACTGCACACGCTGTGGCTGAATTCTCTCCCAACTACCAGGTTTCCAATGAGTCCTACCACTCCTTCAAGAAAACACCAAGAAAACAGAGCCACAAACTGCAAAAGCAATAGAGCTTCACTCTCTGGGCAGAATGAACAGAGCCTCATAATCAGAGAAGAAGCCAAGAAATGTCATTGTTTATGCTCAGCTTCTTTCAATGTCTATCATTTTTTTTACAAAACAACAGCAGCATAAAAAATGTGTCCATTATGTTGAGATATTTATTATACTTTTGGAGGAAAAGAAATTATATTTTTCATTGACTACTGACTGAAACAAGTATCTATTCCCCTACTATCAACCAGTCTAAAAATATGACAGGTACCTGGAGAGCCCCATGGGATCCAAAACGTGGTTATACATAAGCCATGCTTAAACACCCAGAGGTTCACACCTAGGGCTTCCAGGGCTAGAGGACAATAATGACTGTTTGATTCTAAGTATTACCATTTACATTCCCTCCAAAACAACATAAAACCAACATGGAGCAAAGAAAATCACACGTGATTCAAGCCTTCAGCAGTATTAGGAAATAGTGGATCTCATGACTTTTAAGTTACCTGAAACCAGAGGAAAAAACCAAAGTTTTCTTCACCCACCTGCCTCTACAAGCCCCGGGGCCAGGGGTGAGGAGGAGGTGCCAGGGGTGAGGGGCATGCGGAGCGGGGAGTTCAGGGCACAAAAGGCTTCAGAAGGAGAACAGAAGAGCTGACAAAATAATCCCCCCAAGGGGAAAACCCAAACCTTGATGTGAAAATGTTAAATATGGCAAGAACTTGAGGGTTCTGAGCACTAGTAGTCACAGGAAAAAGCCTTCAAAGTATGCAGGGTCATTTCTCACCCATTAGGCTGACACAAATTAAACGGTAAGATAGACAACACATTCTGCTGGCAAGGCTGTGGAAAAAGAGGCACTCTCACGGACTGCTGGTGAGAACACAAAATAGAGGGAAAACTATCTCACAAAACTACCTAGGCGTTAGCCTTCAACCCAGCAATCTTCAAAAAATGTATCTCAGAGATATAATATTCACTGCTGTTGCAAAATATTAGAAAGTACTTAACTGTCTAAGCATAAGAAATTGATTAAATAAACTACTATACACACACACACACAAACACACACACAATATGCTATGCAGATGTAAAATATGAATTGTTAAGATCTCTATGAACTGAGAAGCAATGACTTCTAGGAGATACAGTAAAGTGAAAAGACAATGTACTAAGAGCATATATAAAATGCTACAGTTTGAAAAATAAAAATGGAGAAATAATTACATATATGTGTGTAT